CTGTTTCCTCTCACAGTGAATACAGTTGCTCAGCTGAGAGTGTCTACACTGCACATTGCAGCACAATGTAGAGTTGCCTGAATTATTTATGAAAGTAGGAGCTTGAATACTGGAGGTAATAAAACCATATGAGCACAGAACTCTGCTTGGATTAATACATTCTACTTCTTATTATAGGATTTATGCATTAAAGTGCCGATTGGATTAGCCTCAATGGAAATGTTGCTATATTGCTTCTGTTATCCAGTCTAGTGCCAATGTGATTCTAATAAAACAGCTGAGATATCCAAAATCAGATTCTATAGACACATTTAATATAAGTCATTACCTTGAACACATGCTACTCCATTTAGGTAAGAGTCTAGTTATCCCTATGTAGTAATCTCAAGAAGTTTATTGCTTGCCAGCAGCCCAGATCTGGGATATTGAAGAGAGATAGCCAAGGCAGCATGTCACTGGGACTGTTACCCTTTGTTTCTCACCCTTGTGGGCACTGATGATACTGCCAAGAAAGATACTGAGCAAATCAAGAGTGACCTCAGGGCCTTGGATTCCCAGTGGTGTTCTCTATCCAATCAATGAAGGACAAAGGCTTGAGTAGGAGTGGACTTGTCTTGTGGATCAACATTGATCTGTATGGCAGGTGTCAAAAGCAGAGCTTGGCTTTTAAGGCCATTGCCCACCTCAAGCGCCTGTACACACACCCTTGCTGCATCGGAAACAACAGGAGAAGTTAGAGGTTCATGCACGTTTGCAGATCTGTGCCATTAGGGTCAAAGGGGCGTGGTACCATAGCTCACGTGACTGGAGTGCTGCAACAGAGGGATATGGGGTCCTTACGGGGGCCAGGTTGGCAGACAAGGAAAGGGGGTTGTACTGTGCACAGAGGAGCAGTGCATACACGCAGAGCTCTGCAATGGAAAGAGCAAGGGGAGAGATGAGAGCTTATGGGTCAGGATCAGAGAGGATGCCAATGTATATACATCTTGTGGTAGGCATCTTCTGTGGACTGTCTGATCAAAAAAGTGGCAAGGGCCTTCCTCACACAACTGGAAGATGTCTAATGGTTGCAGGCCCTGGTTCTCATGGAGGACTTCAGCCACAGGGTGAGGTGCAAGCTGTCTAGATATAAGGCGTATATTGATGTGCAGTTGGTAGATGAAATGACTAGGGGAGGTTTAGCTTCCTCATTAATGATCTGAGTAGTGGGACGGAAAACACTCTCAGGAAGTTGACAGATAGCGCTAAGCTGGGGGAAACAGTTGATATACTACCTGCTTTTGGGCTCCAAAGACACTGACAAACTGGAGTGATCTCAGTGGAAGACCTCCTAAATGGATTTCAGGCTGGAGCAAGTAATGTACAAGGAGAAGCTGAAAGAAGTGGGTCTGTTCAGCTTGGAGAAGAGGAGGCTCAGGGGTGTTTCACTGTCTTCAGCATCTTATGGAGGACTACAGAGAAGATGGAGCCAGACAGAGTGCACAGCAAAAGAGTGCACAGCAAAAGGATGAAAGGTAACAGACACAAGCTGCATCAGTGGAAATATAAGTAAAAAAATTCTTCGCATTGAGGATGGTCATACTCTGTAACAGGTGGCTTAGAGAGGCTGCAGAGTCTCCATCCTTAGAGAAACTCATAACTGGACTGAACAAGGCCTTGAGCAACCTGATCTAAATATGAAGTTAGCAGGAGTTTGGACACAGGTCCCTTCCAAAATTATTCCGCGTTTCTGTGGTTCTAAATAAATGGACCATGGAGTTTTCTCAAGCCCTGTCTGTGGATCTAAACACTCCTGCCACCCGAAGAACATGAACACAGACAGACTGATCGTAGGAAACAGTCCCTGGCCCATGCTATTAACTGAATTATGCACTATTTGGGAAAGGGCTAGCTATAGCAGGTCTAAACCACACCAGGGAGTCTGGTAACTTTTTAACACTGTGGGAGTTGATCAGCCATTGCTCAAACTGCAGCCTTACCCCCTCTTTAGTTATTAGTTTGGGCATAACCACACCAGTGAGGCTAAATAATGGAGTTAATAAGCAGATGTGATCATCTAAGTGAATTCATGCTATCCGTAATATACAAAACATCTAAATACTTGCTATAATGTCTCAATTCCATAAACTGACTTTCTGCTATCAGAATGTAAAGATGAATTAGCTAAGTGTCCTAGAAATATGATTAATTCCTATCTAGCTGGAAATAGCTGTGTAGGTCAGGACTATTTAGAATTTGTCTCATTTGAAAACAAAAAGGAGATAATGTGAATATATGATTTTGTCATCTTCCTAAAGCTGACTTAATTTGAACAAGTATTGTATAAACAGAAAGAGCAGTGATTCATTTTGGTTGCAATACAAAGGCCTTTGGTACAAAATATTTATCCACAAACTGATTTGAAAGGCTTTTTTCTGTTTTATAGTTGTCACAGAGCCAAATTCTGCTTTCAGACTGAAGCATGTGGCTACTTTGCAGTCAGCAGATATGAAGTCATTGAAAGCTGTATGTAAATGTATAATGGTACAATTTGGCCTGAACTTAGTGCTGCTCTCCAGTCTGTTTCAACAAATTATTAAATAATCTAAATGCAGAGTGTTATTCTGAAGGCTTTTGGATACATTCTGTGCAGGTGACTGATGCTGAACATGGAACAGTAATGACTGGTTGACCTTGCAGTATGATCAGTAATCAATTTTTCTGAGTTGAAAGGCCCTTTGGGCTTAGCCTTGCAAAGCTCATAGCATTATGCTTGCAGTTCTGCGAAGTTATTCAGTGTGTACTTGATACTAAGCATCTGAGTAAGCTCGTAGAAATGATGAGGCTACTCTCATATTCAAAGATAAACACATGCTAAAATGCGTCTCTGGGTACAGCATGTATCTTCCCACAGGAATGGCTTCCTACTTTGGGTGCTTATGCATAAGCATCCACTTCGCTGCTACTTTAGTAAACTATGATTTTACTCTTATCAAAATGGCTGAGAGCAATTTGGGAAATACATATTGTAGTACCTGTCAGGATTTTATATTGCTATTTGCTGAGTAAATTAAAGAGGTCATAACCACAACTGGTACTCATATACAGGCATAATAAGTTGTCTGCACTGTAGATTCATACAGCAACAATCAAGTCAGAGGGCATTTCCTGTAGGTTAATACCTAGCTAATAGTCCAAGTCCATTAACGGTTATAATGAGAAAGATAAAGTAAGTTTGATTTTATTAGTGCTACAACTACAGTGCTATGAGTATGTGATATCCAGAGCAGTGCTAGAAAATAGAAGTTGTGGATTGATTTTTTGTTTGAATTCTCTCTCAAAGTTGAACAATGAAGACTGCTGCTCAGGTCCAACTCTAGGCATAGGCAAGCTTCTTTCCTGGAATGTATTGAAGCACTTGCCGTATTTTGGAGTTTGCCCAGAGCTGTGAGTTGTCTTCCTCCTGTTTTGCTTTTTCTCAGGAGATGCACAAGTTTGCATCAGGCCCGGAGAGACTCCTTAGAATAAAGTAACATCAGACCTTTCACTCTGTTGTATTACTTCTACTTTTATTGCCTACTTTAAACGTAAACCACATAATCACTTTCCATCAGAGTAGTTTATTTTATAAACCAGTCCTGGCTTCACATACAATGGCATTCAAGTAACCAGGCAAAGCCTGCTTTTTTCCTTAGGTCTTCCCAACTGGC